AAGACGGAACAGTCGCGCTCAATTCCGAGAAACGTTCCAAAGACAACCGTCATTTTTCATTACGCGTACGCGTTACCTGCGAAAATCTGATACCTGGGCCTTTACAACGCGAATTTCATCTTTAATTAACCGTATGGGATCGTTGCGATTTCGAAAATGACTTCAAAATACAGTCACAATCCATAAGATGAACTTTTCATTTTTGATTAATAACTTGCGTATCTTTTAACGTACAGAAAAAATTATTGAAGGTGAATAATGTCGAATAGTCAGTTAATATTATTGTAATAAAATTTTGTTTTGTTATCTTACAGTAATGATTCTTAAAATGAACAGCTCGTATCGTTTTCTAAATGTCGTCTTTCATAATTCACTGACTACACAAGGGATCGCACATTTGGGAGAGAATAGAAATGTTCAATTTACGAATTACGTATTTGGTTCATTTTAAGAATCATTACTGTATTGTAATAGAGTACAGTACAATAGTTCCCTCAGTTAGAAATAAAAATAGAAATGTTCAACTTACGAATCACGTATTTGATTCATTTTAAGAATCATTACTGTATCGTAATAGAGTACAGTACAGTAGTTCCCCCAATTGGAAATAGAAATAGAAATGTTCAACGTACGAATCACGCCAGAGGTTCATTTTAAGAATCATCAGTATATTGTAGTTTTTGAAACCTAAACTGCTATCATACACGTAAAAAATGTATAATGAAATACGTAAGAAATGTATGAAATTTTTCCATTCAATTAGAAGAAGATGTAATAACGCAACAGTTCGATAAGCGTAGTGATTTGAGTGACGAGAAGTAGTAATGGATTCGAAAGTATGTTGGAGAGAATTAGAACAACGATATCGACACGAATATTGTAAATTGATAGCAACAGATGCAAGTAGCTCGTGTTATTGCGTGTGCATCTAATCAGCATTCGACTCGAGATTGTTCGGAATTACGTATTCAATCCAGATTTTCGAGATCGATCACTGTTCATGAGAATTGGCAAATCTCTATCTCCGCAAAACACGATGAATTTACAACCGTCTGTGTTAAATTTCGTACCGATATATTGGAGTAATTATAAATGTAACTCAGGAAACAAAAAATATAGCAAAGCATTTAAATGTTCACCGTACAATTATTAATAATTATCAAGAGCTGTTTGCATCATAAATTGAACCAAAAGTGGACGTACAATATGCGTACTATAAACAATTAATGTGTTAATTGGGTCTAGGTTAAATGTTATAGAAGATTCGCGCCATTCTATTATGCGATCAATGGCAGAATGATTCTGCGTGCTACGCCATACGGTTATAGTAGCTCCATCTAGCGTTTCAAACGTGCAACAACTAAAAATATTCTGAAAAATCAAGGGTAGTGCCTAATCTATCTATACTACTTAATCCATATCACTTTGAAATGGACGAATTAATACTTTAAAGAAAATAAACAAAAACTCTACATAATATCATCTTTATTTATTAATGCATAAGACAATATTAACTATTTTGTAACAAAATGTGTTATTTTATAGAAATATTTTAACAAATAAGTGAATAATCTCACAAAAATGTTCGTAATTTAACAAATTATACTAGTATTTAAGAGTTGATGCATCTAAACCATATGCATTAGTAAATAAAAAGCTCAAAAGTCGATTCAAACGAATTTATGTAGGAGCATGACTAGATGTACTTGCATAGAATCCTTTCCAACGTTCAAACTTGCGTTAACGCGCTAAAATAGTACTCTTTGATGTATAAGTGGAATTTTAAAAATCTGCCACCGAACAAAGATCTCGAAATGAATTTTTGAAAGTAAAATTGAATTTTTATCCTCTAATGCACGAACCGCCATTTTTCTTTTCGCGAGCATCTCTGTGCGAAAAATATAATTTATTTTTAGAACGTGCCCTTCATCATTAAAGTACGTCAAAGTTAGGATTTTAGTTGTAGGTTCTAAAAATATGATTTTAAATAGTTACGAATTGAACTCCGTCGAACAAAGAAATTGTACTACATCACGTAGAGAAATTTTTCTGATATATATTTAAAGGCTGATGTTAATATTGTAAAGCAATTGTCTACATTTATCATAACAAGTGTTTAAAAAAAAAAATGAATAAGACAGTAATATTTAATATGAAATACATAGGCAAGAAGAATGCAACTTTCAATCATTATCTTTGTATAGATAATTCTTTATTTATATTGTTTTCCAACCTATTGAATTTGTCAGTTGTCAAACTATGGTTGGTAACTTACGAAATATTTCATACATTTTCAAATCATTTTTAAAAAATTTATTTGAATCGCTAAATTTAAAGCCGACCCATCTTCACATGTATTTCGTAACTAACAGATCATTCACTTCCCAATCCCAAATCATAATTTTACATGACTTACCACATATTTCAATTTCATAAAAATCCCCGATTAAGAGTATACATAATTAAATGTTTGTTCATATTAAAGTAAAATTAAAAACAAAGTGAAAAACAACTTAACGTAAACTGTGCTTGTAGGACATAGTTTATCAAATTTTACTTTCGATTCAGTGTTCGCAAATTTTTCTTCCTTCTAAACTTTTTACCTCCAACTTTCTTATTATTTTAAATTGGGGATTAAATTCCGTAGTAATCCAGGTCGGTGCAAGATTAAACTCGAACACTTTTTAAAACTGTGCCATTGTTACCTTCAGCGGGAGCGTTACGCTCGAGCAACTTATAAGTATTCTCCGAGCGTCTAAGCACGCCATAGGAAACCAAGAATCGTCGGTATGTGGCTCATGTGTCCCTGTATAGCTGCTACAATCAGAGTGGCACGCGCCCTCATACCTTGGTCCATGTACTCCTAGCACCGCATCTACGTTGGAACTAACCCCGAACACCGGCTCCCAGCCAGGCAGTTCAGTGATTTCCGAGAACGCATTCCCGCCTCTTCCACTGGTCACTGTTACTACGCGAGAACATTCGAGACATTGCTAGCTGCAACGTTGCCCCGATTAGCTATCAACTCGATATGCCATACACAAGTATTTGTCGATTATAGACGCCCAATACAACCAATCGAACGTTAAAAATTCCACGTAAGAGGCAAGAACAACTGTCAAATATAAAAAGAAAAAGAACTCTGTAAGCTATAAACTGATAAAAAAGCTCTAGAATTTGTTGACAATTCAATATACAACCAATTTGCTATATTTTCAAACTCAAAAAGTGCTCTAGAGACCATCCAAGACTTTCAAACAACTGACGTGATAACATTTCTACCTGCAACTTTGCCCTGATTAGTGATCAACTCGATATGCTATAGACAAGTGTTTGTCGATTATAAACGTCCAATGCAACCAATCGAACATTAAAAATTCCACGAAAGGGGCAAGAACAACTGTCAAAAATAAAAAGAAAGAGAATTCTGTAAACTATAAACTGATAATAAAGCTCTAGAATTAATTGACAATTCAAAATACAACCAATTTGCTATATTTTCAAACTCAAAAAGTGCTCTAGAGGCCATTTAAGACTTTTAAACAACTGACACGATAACTCAGGATATAGAAATAATTTACTCAAGATGTATTAAGAACAATAAAGCCATTCAGTTTATTTGGATGAAATATCAATTACTCCTCATATTTTATTTTGCATTTGTCTCGTGTTTATTTTAATTTCTTTAGTTTTTGTTATGACGGTTGTCAATATATGTCAAAAAATCGGCGAATAAATCAGAGTTTGCAGAAATTACTCAAACTACAAAAAACAGCTTCCAGCTACTCTTCTTCTCATTTGAATAAAAAAAAAAACAATAGTAAATTTTACATAAAATGTTATTTACTCGTAAATCAATGAATACGTGCATTGTAATTTTTCACATATATTTCCATCTACTCGTGTACCTGTATAAAATACGAACAAGATTGAAAGTTCTAGGTAAGACAAACAGCCAGGCGTAGAAGTGAGAAACATAGCGACACAGGAATATGGGGAACTGTTTCTCTGAAAACTGATGTCAGCTTTCGAAACGAAGAAACAGTTCTTAATAAAATATTTCACGTTTAATATTTCGATTGGTTCTAAAATTTCAGAAAATAACAAAATTACAAAAATTGAATGACTTGTGAGCACCTAAAAAAATTTGAAAAATTTGAAAAAATGTGACAGCTTATATATATATACATATACCATCATAAAAGGCAATTTTTGCCCACTGTTAAAAGTCAAGAATTATAAAAAAAAAATCTGTCTATATTTTGTGCCAGCTCACTGCATTTGTCCTTTGAATTTGGTAATGTACAGTTCACGGTTAAACAATTTATACGCTGACCTTACCACAACATTTGTGGTATGCGTATCCTATACATCCTGCACAAATCTCCAATCCAATCTCACATCTACGTCAAGACAGAACCTGAACAGCGATTTCTCAACACTCCGACGTTCAAGAATGGATTCCTACTTCGTTTCACCGTCTCCCTATCCTGTAGGAATATTTGAAGGATTTCCGATAAGACTTCGACGAGAAATACAGCGACGTATACGTTGCAAAGAAATATTAATACATTCAACCGACGAGAAATAAATCGTGTATATAGAATTCTGACTGGTAATGTAATTATACGATATGGTCATCAAGCTTCGTTTCTCGTACCGAATATTGTGATGTACGTAAAAGACAGATTGTATTTGTTAAAAATTTTTCTGAAATAGATGTTACAGAAAATTTTGCATAACATACACTGTTGGCTAACAATATAAGTTCACTAGATTTTTTAACCGTTTATTGTCATGGTTAGAATTATTTTCTACTTCCAGAATTATGCAACATTCGAATAAACAATAAATTATTAACATTTTTAAGTGAATTAATAGAAAAGTCTTAGTTTTTAAATTGCTTACAAGCTTTGAAAAATTTCTTCCTTCGAATTAGCAATTGCTTTTTTTAATTTCTCTTGTTCTTTCTAGGTAAATAGTTCTAAACTTGGACAACAATGCAGGTGGTGAATAATATAATTCACAGTCCGCCTGGAGCAAGGATACCAAATATTTCAGTGCAGCAATTTATACTCGATAGTTTTCGCGCCAATCTCGATCACATTCAGCAGGTAAGTTTAAAATTGTATTTATTCAGTTTTATGTAAGCAACAAAATTTTCAAAAATGGTGTGTAATGAAATATAAATTCGATTTACAATTTGATTCAAACAGATACTAAATAATTATATTATTTTCTATTGTATTTATAAATTGAACAGGACATAGAAAAGTAACTAAAAAATTAAATAAAAAGTAAACTGTTGCCTCTAAATGTTCATTCAAATAAATAATAATAATTGAGTTAACCATATAAATTATAAAAATTATAAAAAAAAATTGTACAAAATCGATTTGATAGCCAATGTGTTAATAAGTATTTAAGAAATGATTTTAATAGTTATTCAATAAGTAACATATTATTGAATAATATTTTACTATGAATATTCATTTTAAATTTTGCATAGTCTTTTTGAAATATGTCATGCATACTTTTAGCAGACATTATTACTGACAAAAAATCAATATCTCTTCTTCATGTTCATTTTTTAAAATAATAATACAATCGAACTAGAATTCACACGTTATAAAGTATCAGATATAATACGAATGTTCAGTGTCAATATAATAGGAATGTTTCAGGTTGATATTGAAACTGGTAAATACTACACGTGCAGAGACGTTCTTGAAGCAAGCATAGCACTCGCTGGTGCTTTAAAGAATTATGGAATCGTCAATGAAGACAGAATTTCCGTTGCAAGCGAGAATCATCCAAATTTTTTGATCATAATGTGTGGAATATTTAACGTTGGAGCTGTATTTGCTCCCGTGAATCCGGCATACACAGAAAGTGAGTAAAAATCTCGATAATCAATTTTCAATAATTGTTCACACATCAAGTACGAGGAAAAAGAGCAGAATAAAATTATATTACGTGTATAAGTTAATATACACAACGCTTGCAATCGCCGTTTAATTAATATTTATTTATCAATCAAGTTTGACGCTTAAAAAATTCAATAGAAAAATATACGTTTCAACGCATACATTTTTTATAAAAAATTCAATAGAAAAATATACGTTTCAACGCACACATTTTCTATAAAAAATTCATGAAAATATCGTTCGCTTTGGTGGTGTAACACTTTAACATGGGACCGTTGTAAAATACTAATACTTTCGTTTTCATTTATGCATTGCTATTAACACGTAGGATGTTTTTAATGTAGGAGAGTTCAGACACATGTTGGAGATCAACCAACCACGAGTGATGTTTGTGTCTCGAAAAACCGAGTTGCTTCTCTCAAAAATTGCACCGACTCTTAGTTGGACGATGAAATTAATACAATTGGAAGATAATGCCTTGACTAGAAACGTTCCAACGTTGAAAGAACTTTTGCAGGCGCATAAGGATATTGTAGACCCTTATAATTATGTACCAGCGCCTGTCGGCGACAGTAGCAAAGCAATGGCGGCAATTTTTGGTTCTAGCGGAACGACTGGCTTTCCCAAAGGTGTTACATTGTCTCATCGAAATTTAGTGACTTACATTATAAATTCGAGGTAAGTGAAATTACTTACAAATGACGAAATTTGTTAATTGGTTCACAAACAAACGTTAATTAATAATATTAATGAGTTAAGAATGTAGATACGTGCGTTGTAAGATTTGTACCCAACAATCTATATTATAGCTTTCGAAGTACATACATAGTTCTATACACGATTCTATTTTCTATTTCATATGTTATAAATAAAGATATTTTATTTAAAAGTTAATTTAAGTATTTAAATTTACTATTGTTACCATTTATTTATATTGAGGGGAAAGAAAATGTAATTACCGAGAATCGAACTCTGATCACAACCTGGTAGGACTTTCTTGCGTTACCATCACGTCGAAGTCCTACTTGAAAGACGAAGAATTAAAATTATATTTTTACAAAATATTGAAATTTAAATCATTCATATTTCAAAAGTTTTTGAGTATCTGCCTCTATAATGCTATATATTCGTAAACATAATGACTAGATCTACAAGTGTGTAAAATTTCAATAAAATACTTTGTTAGTAAACAAGACTCCTGAACTTAAAAAGAAAAGATGTTTGCATATAATATTTTTCTATTATTGTTGTTCTTATGATTGATGTTTCATCTTAAATAAAGAATGATTAGTTAGTTCTATTTTAAAAAAATATTATTGTATATTCTAAGTGCACAACCCAACTTAAAATAGTTCTAGGATATATTCTTCTTAAGTTCTACTAAACACCACTGGAGTATTTATAGCAGGGATAGAAAACTGTTGTAATATTGATTCCTATTGAGTAATACATTTGTATTCAGAGTTAAATGAGCAGAGTGTTACCATAATTCATAAAAAAACAATAATTGAATTCAGATCTTTAAATTAAAGAGGTGTTACTCCCTAGACTGTAATTTTTTGCGTTCATTTTGTGATTATATTTTTAATCATAGGTTAACTATTTTGTATAGGGTTTTTCCAGATATATTTACTTATCTTATAACTATGTATAGAGCTTTTTCCATCCTATAATATTTAAAATTGTGGTTGCTATATCTAGAATCATACACTTTAAGAAAATGAAATAAAAAAAAATTGATTTTTTCGAAATTCTAGACCGCACTACCCTCTTAATACATCAAAATGTAATAAATTTAATTTATTCATTTCAGCGGTACACGCTATTTAGACATTCGACGAGGTGATCGAATAATAGTCTTTTTGCCAATGTTTCATGGCTATGCATTCGGTACAACACTCTCTGCGATAGGTTTCTGTGGAACTACGTACGTAATGCGTTCTTTTAAGATGGAGACTTTTCTGCAATCAATTGAAACGTATAAAATCACGTACGTACCATTGGTTCCTCCAATTCTGGTACTTCTCGCGAAGTATCCATCGGTTATAAACTATGACTTCAGCAGCGTGAGATACCTCCAGAGTGGCGCAGCGCCATTTCCTAAAGACGTAAGTTTTCCGATAATATTTACTAATATGAATTCTTTTTATTTTGTTTCTTCTGTCCCGCACCATCAAATTAATTTGTATTTGGTAAATATATCTTCGAAACCTTAATTAATAATTTTAGTCTATTCTTTATTCTTACACGTATTTAAATATAACATTATAAAACTTTTATAAAATACCTGTTACACGAAGACTGGAAATTATTAATATCATGTTGTTATCTTCAATTAAGTCACAAGTATAAAAATAACTCGGCGAATCGTTTTGTTCCATTCTTTGTTACAATAAAAAAAAATGCAACAGAGTTTTTCCTTGAAAAACAAAACACATAAATAATATAGAATATCTGTGCTTCACACTAAGTTTTAATAAAATGAACAAATAAAGAAGCCATTTTAATAAAAGCTTCAAAGAAAAAACAATAATCGAATATTGCCAATTTTAAACCTCGAATTCAACGTAAAAATTTACGACACATATCTATAATCCCGAACAAAATGATTGCTGGTTTCATTTTTTATTTCCAGCTGTTAGAAAAATGATTTGATAACAAATAAGAACACGTATTTCTTTAATCGATTACAGTGAAAATTTTGCTGGATAAAGATTGTAATTTGTAGAAAATACAATTTTTAAATGTGCAAGACGGTAAATTGTCAAAAAATTTTGTAGAATATAATTCTACGTAACATATCAAAATCTTTGAGAACAAAAGGAATATCACGGAATAATGAAATTTTGAACAATAAATATTGAATAATAAATATTTTGTAGGTTGCAAAGGAGGTACGGAGACGGACGAAAGTAAAGAACATTCGAAATGGTTATGGTATGACAGAATTGTCAGTGACTACGCACGTAGGCGATATAACGCGCGACGCTGAAAATTTAGGATCGCTGTTTCCCGGATTGCTTTGCAAAGTAGTGAATCCAAACATTAACGAAGCGCTTTGCGCCAATGCAGTTGGAGAAGTTTGCATAAAAGGTGACCAAGTAATGTTGGGATACTTCAGGAACCCTAAAGTCACCGCAGAAACCATCGACAAGGAAAAATGGCTGCACACTGGCGATCTTGGGTATTTCACAGAAGATGGATTATTGTACATTACCGGGCGACTAAAGGAACTTATTAAATATAAAGGCTTTCAAGTAGCCCCGTCAGAGATCGAGATCATAGTACAATCACATCCAGGCGTTAAAGATGCAGCAGTTCTGGGCAAACCTGATGAAATGAGCGGCGAAGTACCGATAGCTTTAGTAGTGAAACAATCTGGTTCCAACGTGACAGCCAAAGAAATCATAGATTTCACGAATGGTAAGTTTGTTTCCTTTGTTTTGAAGAAATAAAAAAATCTTTGATTAACTTCTTTCTTTGAATTGAAAAAGAATTACATTAACAAAAATTTAGATTTTTCCTTTCTTGAAGAAATGAAAAGGATTTTTTAAAATCTTTTTGAAAGAAAATTATGTTAACAAAGATCTAAATTATTTTCATTCCTAAAGAAATATATAATAAGATGATTTTTTATTTCGTTCGAAAAGGAAGAACCTAGGTCTTTGTTAATATAATTTTTTTTAAATCCCTTAAAAAATTTTTTACCAAAAATTTTAGGGTGTTTCTTGAAGATTATCACAAAATTTAAATACTTAATCTATCAGCTTTGTTTATCGACAATGATAAATGCAGAATGTAAACAAAGCACTCATTTAGAAAATAAAGTGTGCATCTCCGATTAAGTATTTAATAAACAGATATCATGAGATTAAATACTCGTTTATATTATACGAAACAAAATTATTCTCCTTCTAGTCGTTAAACAATTCCAGATTGTAGCTTGAAATTAATTTTCCTATTCAGAAAAAAATTTCATTTGAAAATCGGGAGTATAGAATATGTATACATTTTGTGACGCTACTTTAGAATCGATAAATATTAACATATTATTTTATGAACTACATTACATATATGTTATAAATAATGTATACTTTGGGAAAATTAATGGTAATTATTTACTTTAGGGGACCTCAACTCCGATTTTTATGATTGTGAAATATGTTATAGAAAATAAGATTCTAAACAACTTTTCCCTACAACCACCGCACGGCCTTAGTTTCTGAGATATTTGTAAAATTTCTTCCGTGCTACTACTACATTGAATTGTGTCTATACGTACGCGTACGTAGCAACGTGTGCGTCAACGTTGGGGTGCCAGTTATCTGTTGTTTCTATAAACATCGGTAGCAGCCGGTAACCAATATAATATACCGCGTGTACCTGAAAATTGAACTTAACCGATTTCAATGGTTTTGAATTGTGATTGCATGACCGACCACCACAACCTAACCCTTTTTTTTTGTACGTGAGGAAATCCTCATGGACACCCTGAGGCCCCAAGTAGAGGGGGCCTCGGGGTCTTACCGGCTAAAACCTCACTGTGATCGCCCTTTGGCGCTGTGGCGGGGGACCGGAAACTCTAATGAGACATTACAGAGTCCCCCGCCACACCTTGCCTGTTGAGGCTCATCCCGGGGGGAAGGACGAAATGTCCCTGCCCCCTGATTTTTCCGCCGCGGACGCCAGATCACGCGACGCCCGCGACCCCGGGGCTGCCTTCGGTGCTCGGGCCCCTCGCACCGAGCACATGCAGCCCCCGAGGGGCGGCCCGTCAATCGTGGTGGCCGAGGGAGAGCGGTGACGGGCCGCCCCAATTCTGGAGCTCCATCCGGACCTCAAGGCCGCTGGAGGAGACCAGGAGGCGACGGTCGCCTCACCCTGGGCCCCCTCCGAGCGGCCTCCTTCTGTGACATGACTGCCTCACAGAAGGAGGCCACCACATGCCAGATTCTCTCGCTGGCCACCATCTTTCCTACTATGGTGGCCAGCGAGAGATTCCTCCCAACTTCTTGTTCCAGGACACGGCGCTCATCTGCCCACGCTGGGCAGGCTGCCAGCGTGTGCTGCGCTGTGTCCTGCTGGGGTCCTCCATAGTGGTGGCACACCGCATCGCCTCCTTCCCGTTTCGACGCAGATACTCACCAAAACAACCGTACCCAACTCGAATGAGTTGGTGGAACCACATAAACAAAACGGTCCCGTTGGGCACGGCGCCTCGTGGCTTCGACCGCTTGCCTCCTCACCTCTGGCGGTCTGCCGGCCTCCCGGAGCTCTCTGGAGTGCCGGAAAACCAACTGGTTTCTTCAGGTTAGGGGAGCTCCAGGGGCAGAAGACACGCCAGGGTAGTCGCCGACTCGTGGGAGATGGTGCGATACCCTCTAACAACCTGGATTGCCAGCCGACGGTTAACACGCGGCACAGCATCTCTGTACTGCGCCGGCTGGCATCCGGTCCGGGGCCCAAATTGGGGCCCCGTAGAGAGCAATTGAATGCACCACCTCTACGTAGAGGCGGCCGACCACCACAACCTAACCCAGACCTAACCTATCCTTACTGGATGATATGTGTGTGATGTGATGTTATGGCGCTGCTTCGATGCGGGTAGGATCTTAGGAAATTCGTAGGAGGTGAGAAAAGGAAAAGAGGGGGAGCGTTTCGTCTGGGCCCGCTAGTGGACTCAGCAGTAAGGCTTTCTAGCAGGACTTGCCGTAGACGACTGGGATATTGGGAAGTCGTTCAAGGAATGTATACAGGGTGTCCCGTAAAAAGTTTAAGAACTGGAAATGGGGGGGGGAGGGGGGGGGGGGTAGCTGAAACGATTCTGAACAACAATTTCCTTTGCAAAAATGTCGGATGGAGCTTCGTTTTTGAATTATTAACGAAGAACACTGACCAATCACGGCGCTCGCCTTCCGCGTGCTCAGGGCCGTCCGACCTCGGAGAGCCACCGCGCCGGGTAGGTAGCAAGATGCGCGTTGAAGATACATCGAGGAACGAATACAAATAATTAAAAATACTACCACTACAACTGTTACCTAATTCGTTAATTACTACGTAATTAGTACGTAAATTACTAAATGGAATTTATTAATTATTTGTATTCGCTGTTTCCGAGAAAGAAGGAATAAAATCTCGGAATTTTTAGGAAATTAACCCTTTGCAACCGAGTGACGCTTCTCGCCAGAGTGTTTTAAAATTAAAATAAAAATTATTATCAGAAAATTAAAATAAATACTGTAAGAACCACTTGTAACCGTTTGTTATTAAAAACTATACTGAAAAAGCAGACTGGATTTTTGCGTACCGAAACATTCCTCGAATGCAAAGGGTTAATAGAGAAATAATTCAAATTCGACTTAGCCATTTATCTACAAATTGACCTACTGCGCTGACAATAGGGCCCGGCCAATGCACCGCTGTCGGTCACGGCAAGGTCAAAAACCCCAACGAAAATCAGCTGATGGGATGGTCCGGTCGCTGTACCTGCTTCTCACTCCGAAAACACTTCACAGCATAGTCACTAACACTTTTCACTTTCACATACCGATGCGTTCCGTTGCACCCTTCTTCGATTGTTGCTCCTTCCTGGGTTGATAACGGTGCCTGGATGTTGCTCCCTCCTGAATTGTTACTTCTTCCTGAATGGTTGTTGCTCCCTGAATTGTTGCTCCTTCCTGGATTGTTGCTTCTTCGAACCTTGCTCCCTTCAGGATTGTTGTTCCTTTTCGCTGGTATAATGGGCGCGATACGTGCGGGCGGCTTTCTTCGCGTTCCCCTTGGAGTCCGCGAAAATGAAGAACGAACGATAATACTCTGCGTTTACGCGTTCCTTCGCATGCGTCCGCTTCTGTTCAAAAACGCGTAGGTCTGTGAAAAATTTTGACTGACAAATTACATTTCCCTCCCCGAAAAAGTTCCAGGTAGGGCAACCCATTGTCGCGCGATTCGGAGTTACCTGCGATTGGCGAACATGCAGACCATGTTTGCCGCAAATGTTTGCTGCTAAACCGTACGGTCGACTCTTCTAATAGAATTTTTAAGATTCACCGTGATCGGTCGAGCACTTGTGAGAGCGCGACCCCTCTGGTGGCGAGTATGGGAGGCGACGCCACAATGTTACGATCAAAATTCGATTTAAAATTCAATTTTAAATATTAATGTGCGTGGCCAGCCACGAACCGATGGATTGGGTTAGTGTTAGGGTAGATTTAATATTCAGGACGCGATTAGGTGGCCTGCCACGCAAACCGAAGTTAAAAATCATTGAACAAACGCGTATGTAAAGGTAGAATTCAATTTGTTTTAGGTTCACCCGTTATATAATATTAGTCGTTTGCCGCTACGATGATGTTTATAGAAACAACAGATAAGTGGCGGACGAATGTTGACGTACACGTTGCTACGAACACGTACGTACAAGCAGATTTCAATGTGTTAGCACGAAAGGAATTTTGTGAATATCTCGGAAACTAAGGCCGTGCGGCAGTTGTACGTTATAGGGAAAAGCTGTTCAGAATCTTATTTTCTATAACATATTTCAAAATCATCAAAATTGGCATTGAGGTCCCCTAAAATAAATAATTAACAAATTGATTAAAATTTGTATATACAATTTATAGGAAATTTATCACCGCAAAAGTGGTTGAGGGGTGGCGTTAAATTCGTTGAAGCTATACCCAAGACTCCATCAGGAAAAATTCTGCGACGAGAATTAATTAAAACGATATCTAAATTATAAAACAGTAAACTATTTTTATTTATTTGAAACTTTAATTTTGAAAAAATACGACGTATTTTTTCCATGTGTTCAAATACTTTTAGCGAAGTCTATGTTTTGCAAGAAACAATTCATAAATTAAATTAAATTACTTAAATCAACGTTGACTTATATAATCTGAGCAGTCGTACCTACGTACAGTGTTAATAATATTTTCGTAAGTACCTACTGTATAATATATATTATAATTAATGAAGTATTTTATAGTAGATGTTGAAATATTTTCGCTGTACATCGAGAACGATGACAGTGCATAAATGTACTTGTTAACAAAATGAATTTATTTACATTTTCGAGCGTAATAAATGACCATGAAGTTATCTACAGTGATACACATTGTCAGATAACAGTAGTTGTGAATATAGTTAAATTACGAAATCAACATGCACGAATTGATGGAAAGAAATCATAATATCCTCTGTGTTTTTTGAATAACAGAGGAACACTATTGTATTTCAAAGATGAAATGATAGCAAACATTATTTATCATGCACTTATAAATTGTTCAGTGATAATGGAATTCGGAGGAAATATAAAATAGATTTTAAACAGAAACCTTGATTTAAAAAAAAATAAAATTTAACGATAATAAAAATTTTGGAAATAATTGGCACAGTTATATACAAGTTATTAAAGAATATGGAAAATTATGGCAAGGGAAAAAGTAGTAGAAAATCACCGTCTCTATAAAATTTTAGAAAGCGTGCATGGGTCCAAATAGACCCGGTGTCCTCTGAGCAGGAGTTAAATTATATGCAGGATAAATAGATAAATAATTTGATACAAAACTATTTTGTTCGAAGACGAGGCTTCGAGAAAATCGATTTTGAAAATTTGTTCTACGTAACATAGACTGAAACTTGCTTGTCATGTAATACTATTGCTGATTATTTTTGTTAGTGTTTACTCGGTTTACAAATTGATTACGGTATGATTCGCAATGACTGTCAATTTTACAATTTTCTCTCAGTTTATCGTAAATTATCACGGCATCAATGACTCCAAAAATCATCCGACCTTACACCACATAAATTTTAGTTAAAAATTAAAAGTCATTTTGAAGTGATGTTGGGAACCGGGTAAGAAACTCGTAGACTGTCGGTATATTACAGGTATAATATATTTCGCAGTGGTTTCTAATATTACTCGGTTACAGCAACTAAAGTTCTACGATAAGACTAAACGAGGAATGACGTGACGTGAACTGATCGTATTCGAATTCGTACTGAATCTGAGTCCCTATGTTTTGACTCCTATATATACAATATATTCTATATTCTGGTAAATCGATGGGGAAGGGCGAGCCCTTAGCGACGGAGGTGATGGAAGATGATCTTTGCACGAAATTGTACTTTGAGCGACTTAGTCAGCGCAGCACGCTGACTAAGATGTTTTTGCGGAATTCGGCTATTTGACGGCAGGGTATTGTGACTCTGGATAGATACAGATAGTAAACAGAGGACTGGTCTTCCAACAGTGAAAGTGATAAAAATAGAAATGAAAAATGTTCCTCGATCGAAACAAAATATTTTACAAGAATAACATTGAGCTAAGTACTTTAGTATACACTTATACAAATTAATGTGAATATTTAACAATATAATAAATTATAAAGAGATCTCAAATCGTACAAAAGAAGATGAAAAATATATTTTTATAGATTTAATCGCCTCTAAGCACGTCTTGAATTATAAAGAGATTTGAAATCGCGCGAAAGAAGGCAAAAAGTATATTTTTATAGATTTAATCGCCTTCAAGCAAGCTTATTGGATCCGCTCCTGCAATCGTTAACAAGCAAACACGCGTTTCATTGCTATCCGTAATCAGTTGCAGCCAGGGACTCAGTGGAGAGCGGTCTACTTGTAAGGTTCTTCAGTTTGTTACTCACTAATTCATAGACATGTTTTACAAATACTTCACAAACTAATAATTCTTTATTTCCAAATCTCATATTTCAACCGATATGTATCCAATGCAATTTCAACTCTATAACTTCGATTTGAAATGATTCGAATATGATTCTATGCTAAGAAACTCTTAACATTTTTTCAAATTTTGCAGATCTTAACTATCTTTGACACTAGATCACTATTTGTATCAAAGAAATTAAAATGATAGATACTCGAAGAAATGTACAATGGAATGGAAATAAATGTTTATTATTTCTGTTCTAGAAAATTACAGTTTAAAAAATCCAGTCTAGTAAATTTTTTGCAATTTTTATTAAAAATTATGAATCATTTTGACTGCTTTGGTAGTTCATTGTGCATTTCGAAACAGAGTAGTAAATAGGAAGTGCATCGTGACAACTCGCTTAATCGCATAAATAGATTCAGTATGACAGAAGAAGCTCTAAAACTTATATAAGAGGAAATAAAAGACAGCTTGTCTGATAATATCGTGTCTTGCAATAAGATAACTGCTTGTCATTAGATTATAGTAATACTAACCGATACTTTGGCTATAACATCACTTTAAAACCAGTTGTCCTCTTTGGAATTACATAACGATAAAATGATCTATTACAGTAAAGAATGTATCATGAACGTAACTACTGCTGTTTCCAGTCTACTGTTTCTACGTTTGAACGAAAATGAAGGTGCTCGACAATATAATTCACGGCCCGCCAGGAGCAAAAGTGCCAAATATTTCCATACAAGAATATATACTCAGCAATCTTCGTGCCAAGCTTGATCACATTCTGCAAGTAAGTTTAAAATTGCATTTACGTAATTTTATGCGAATAACTACATTTTCGAAAATATTATCCAGAATTAGTCTCGTAACATGATGACATCATAGTTTGCAAAGCATTTGCAAAAGAATGTTTCTAATAATAGCTGCATGTTTCGATTACAGTAATTAAGCTTTAATTATTATGCTTCTTTATCGAAATACGAAGGCTATTAATTCTATAAATATTTATTGTACCGTGTATGGTCGGGAAGTAATTGTTATTGAGATATTATTAATGTATTCTAAGATGTTAGACACTATTATACAAATGTATGCAAAAGTTAAAAACGTACATGAGGAAGGAGATTAGGTTATTTTTGTGGAAAAAGCAGACTACAGTATTGTCTCTATAGAAGCGACGCTCTCGGGGCTCAACGCTCGGCTATATCGTGGACGAGAAACGATTCTTGATACTTTGTTGACGCCTACTGGAGGCGGCGAGTATAGAAAAGAACAGCGAGCATATGACAAAGAGGGACTGAGCGGCCGAGCATCGCCGAATTTGCTATCGCTTCCTTCGCTTCGGGTCGGCTGTAACGAAACACAGGCGATGTTTATGCGAGCCTATACGAAATCGGTGTTCTAATTCTGACTTCTACCTCTCTTGGTAGAGGTCGCAGAATGAAATACTGATTCTGTATAGGCTCGCGTAAACATCGCCTGTGTTTCGATACAGCCGACGTGGAGTCACTTGAGCGATGCATGCCTTTGATTTCTTATTGCGTTAGTAAATAGGACCTAAATTGTATATCGTATTTGGTGTCATTTTAATCAGAAAAGTGTCACGAATATGTTGATGAAGTTTGAAAAAAGGAAGAACAAAAATAAAGATGAATTTCGTTGTTGATTTAATATTGTATATGTACTAGTTAAATCGTGTCATAACTTCAGTACATATATGTATGTATCGATCGTTTACTGCAATAGTGATATAACCCGAAAAGATATACATAACTTGCGAATTTAAACTGTTTAACCAACTTATTTTACTCTGAGTTGTCTCACGATTTCGGCAAATAAATGATAGGCCAATTAAATTACAATTCCTTTTTTCAGATGAGGATACACTTTAAAGAAAGGTCAAATGTATATTATAATTTATGAAAAACAATAATAAAAATTATGTTGTACTTGATCTTAGTTAAATCAGAAAACTGTCACAGACATGTTAAAAGTTTCAAAACAAGAAAACGAAAAATAAAAAATTTGTATTATTGCACTAGTGTTGCCTTAGTAATTTGAGCCCGTATCGTATGACAATGTTCGACGACCGACTGTCAAACGCGCCGCTATCTTGGGGAACCGCCCATAGGAAGGCATACTCGCCGATACAGCGAGTGCTTAGTTCTAACGGTACGCAGTGGGGATAAGTAGAGGGGATATGATATTTGCCTATATCGTGGACGAGTTCCGAGCTTATATAGAGAAAATACTGTATAACGCGTTTGTCAAATCTCTCGTATTCTATTTCAAATTGTTTCTGGTTTACTATTTGGTAATTTGTCTAAATCAATGCTTACAATAACATCTGGACTATTATTTAATATTTCACTTAAGGGCAATTAAATAATTTAATAAAGGCAATTTTCAAGAATTTTTTGGGTGAAACTATGAAACTTTCTCTGATAAATGTTTAATGTTTTCGAAAGTACATTTCTTGAACTACTTCTTGTAAAGATTTCGTATGAAAATACAGTATTTTCTCTATATAAGCTCAGAACTCGTCCACGATATAGACAAATATCGTATCCCCTCTACTTATCCCCACTGCGTACCGTTAGAACCCAGCACTCGCTGAACCGGCGAGTGTGCCTTCCTATGGGCGGTTCCCCAGGATAGCGGCCCGTTTGACGGTCGGTCGTCGAGCATTGTCAAATTTTTTATTTTTCCTTTTCTTGTTTTAAAACTTTTAACATGTCTGTGACAGTTTTCTGATTTAACTAAGATCAAGTACAACATAATTTTTATTATTGTTTTTCATAAATTATAATATACATTTGTCCTTTCTTTAAAGTGTATCCTCGTCTGAAAAAAGAAATAGTAATTTAATTGACCTATCATTTATTTGCAGAAATCGTGAGAGAACTCAGAGTAAAATAAGTTGGTTAAACAGTTCAAATTCGCAAGTTTGTATCTTTTTGAGTCATATCACTATTGCAGTAAATGAGCGATACATACATATATGTACTGAAGTTATGACACGATTTAACTAGTACATATACAATATTAAATCAACAACGAAATTTATCTTTATTTTTGTTCTTCCTTTTTTCGAACTTCATCAACATATTCGTGACACTTTTCTGATTAAAATGACACCAAATACGATATACAATTTAGGTCCTATTTACTAACGCAATAAGAAATCAAAGGCATGCATCGCTCAAGTGACTCCACGTCGGCTGTATCGAAACACAGGCGATGTTTACGCGAGCCTATACAGAATCAGTATTTCATTCTGCGACCTCTACCAAGAGAGGTAGAGGTCAGAATTAGAACACCGATTTCGTATAGGCTCGCATAAACATCGCCTGTGTTTCGTTACAGCCGACCCGAAGCGAAGGAAGCGATAGCAAATTCGGCGATGCTCGGCCGCTCAGTCCCTCTTTGTCATATGCTCGCTGTTCTTTTCTATACTCGCCGCCTCCAGTAGGCGTCAACAAAGTATCAAGAATCGTTTCTCGTCCACGATATAGCCGAGCGTTGAGCCCCGAGAGCGTCGCTTCTATAGAGACAATACTGTATTAATTATTATAGCCATAATAGGAACCAGCGTGAAAGGCCTTCAAAAATTTATTAGAAACGGGCCGGTGTGTAATTGTTAGAATAGGTGCAAGTTGTGCGGAAGGTTTTATACAAAACCTTCTCACTCTCACCCTTTAACGATGAGTCCGAATTACGAGGGAGTGGGAATATAGGGGAAAGTGAATGGTACACGTATAAATTTCTTTCGTCTAATCAATTTTATACTAGGCCGTTTATTTAAAATTGAAAATTTAAACAAAGAAAAACCAAAATTAAATAAAACAAAATAAAGAAATTTATTTAAGAAAATTTAATTTAAAATCGCCAGGAAAAACCGAGCCCGGTGTCGAGCTCGTAAAAAACCGTGAGGTACGAAATTCAACTTGGCTAAATTCTTTCGAATCCGCAACAGTTTTGCTATCGTTCCGTGTCGGTTCAGTGGTGCAACGATACAATTAGACGAATCTAACTGATCGTATATAGCGATCGCGGTGTTAGACAGAGTCGACTTTGGAGGTCCGAACTCGTCGAGAACCAGAAAGCGAGTGATCGAAGAGACAGACATTCTTAACCGCGGCCACGAGAGGGAAAATCGTCGTCTCGCGGCGATGTCTAGTTTTCGTTGTCTATCTCTTATTATCGTTGTATCCTCTCTTTATTTCGGCGTAGTAACACCTGTTCTCTTGGAACCGTTACTGGGCCGATCGCGTGACTCTTATCGAAGGTTTTGGAGTTTTTCTACACAGTATTGCTCCCGAAACATATTACGCCGCAGAGAAGGTTCTGGAACGTCGCGTAAACTGAGGATAACACCGTATAAGAAATGTCCCCTTTTTTTCTATCGATCACGCGAGAATTTAACCGACGTTTCTGATTAACGAATTAACGCGTTATTTAAACAGTAATTTTTCATTGCAAGTTGTGAAACACGAAATCATGCAATTTTTTTGAACTTGTTACGAGCGCGAGCGCGAGATCCTGGATTCGGTCGAGGGACAGTACTCGACCGGTGGTTTTGGGTATGGTTTGGAAAAGAAAGGAGGTCCGGACGAACCAGGGGCTCTATACCCTGGGAGCCGTAGGTGGAGGTTACGTGGACGAACCAGGGACTCTATACCCTGGGAGCCTCGGGGTTAGATTTATAGGAAAAATGTAAGGTTTCACGGACGAACCAGGGGCTCTATACCCTGGGAGCCGCTAGTAGGAGTGGATGAACCAGGGGCTTTATACCCTGGGAGCCACGTAGGGTTTTAGGATGTTTTTAGGATCTTGCTCTCTGTCGTGATGGTACACCTCGAGCGGTAAAGGTGTACCGGGTTCGTGAGATACCCCTAGCCTTACGGTTAATATGGTTCAGGGTTGAATTGAGTGAATAACACACGTAAGGAATACTACTTGAATATATATTTTTGACGATGCTCAAGTCCAGCTATGGATTTACAAAAAGTTGTACAATTGCTAAATTGCCTCGAAGGCGAAAGATCTGTTATCGGCTTTTACGCGGCGCGTTCGCGGGAGCTACTACTCGATTAATGGACACTCACTGATAAACCGCTAAGGTAGATAGTAATACATAGTTGCTTGAAGAGGATTATAGCCCGATCTTGCCCTGAGTGTCACAATACCGTCGTACCGAGAGTTTTTAGGAAAACTGAGCTCCCGAGTAAGAAACCGCGGCCCTTATATAGTTGAGAAATGCTCAGTACTAAGGCGGGGCATTACCATAAAAGGTAATGAAAATTGGGCCGGTTGCTCGCATACGGCATGAGTCAACCCCGTTCAAAGGGTTGCACACTAGATGCTCGAGCCAACGCCCAAGTCACCAAACGTTTCAGCCCCATGCATGAATGATATGTAACAAACTATAAGACAGTAGCTTCAGTTGCACGTAAAGATTTTTAAAAATATTTATTATTAAATGGTGGAACTTCAAAAAAATTTCAAAATACTGTGACAAAATCAATATTTCTTTTAACACCGCGCCGAAACTAATTATTTGATCGAAAATTCCGTAAGTGCAACTGAAAAGAATAGTACTAGGAATCACCGTACAAAATTTTAAGTAAATCGAATGAAAATTGACTGAATTATTAAGCCGCCCAGTTTGAAAAATGTGGTTTCGAGAAAAACGCGTTTAAAGTTTTGTACCTAATTATCTGTGAAACAACGTTGGAGTTTTTAAACTTTCTAAAGGACATCCACTTCAGAACCCTAAAACCTATTCTCTGTAGAAAGATCATCGTTATCTCCTTCATTTATATTTCCTTTTTTCTTCAACCGAACGTCCTGCATCGCTGTTTTGTGTTTTCGCTGAGTAGCGAAAGGGCGAAGCGTGTCCTGTTTGTGTCGATATGCGTCTGCCTATGGACCAATTTTAGTATGGAGGACTTTTGTTATTTGTAATAATCTTGAATAGCCATCGTTAAATTGGATTGCGGCTAAATAAGTTGCCAGTTGGGCCACTTTAGTCGTGTACATTTCATTCACACCTCTTATCGCTCTAGACTAAATACTCTTTGATTCACATAGTTATCTCAATCAAAACACTTCCCATTCATTGAAAACTTTACCACAACAGAATAATACAAGAGTTTCAAATGAATGTCGCGAAGTAAAGAGCAGTTAGTTTCAAGCGTTACGCATATTACATGTTCTACGTCTACTAAATCTTCTGTTACTTTGTCATTTTTGCGAATTTTACTAATCATCGTCATTCTTAAAATCCACAAGCATTGAAAAAAGATTTAAACAAAATTTCGATTTTTTGAATCCATCACAGTGGTTTCCTCCCTTAAGTGATTATATAAATTAATTGATTTTCATTTTAGTAATGACTCAGAGACCATTAATTTTAGATCATGTACGGTACGAACTATTATAAAATATATAAAATTTTATAATATTATTTCAGAATGATGCAACTGGATGAGAAAGTGACTGTCGACATTAACACATTTGAAATATAATTTTAGGTTGATATTGAGACTGGTAAATCCTTCACAAGCAAGGATGTTCTCGTAGGAAGCGTAGCACTTGCAAGTGCTTTAAAGAACTATGGAATCGAGAAACAAGACAGAATTTCTATTTCAAGCGAGAATCTTCCAAATTTCTTAATCGCGACATGTGCAATTTATAATGTTGGAGCTGTATTTGCACCCTTGAATCCAGGGTACACGGAACGTGAGTAGAAATCTAGAAAATTACTTTTCATATACGTAAAATTTATTTACTCATCGTTTAAGGATATAGTAATAAAAAGCACCTGTGAAGCAAAAATGCAAAATAATTTTTAAATTTCTTTCATTCTTTCCAAACAATATTCAATTAACGTTTATTTAAAATGAAAGTTTGACATATTCAAAATTCAGTGAAATAATAAAAATTTTTAATTTTAAATTTAAATTAATATTAAAGCCATAAAACAATAAAGATGAAGTCTGTTTATGAAAATATTTGTAGACTTCACACCTACATATTAATCAATATCTATGTCTTCTATTTTATTCATTTGTTGTGCATTAACAAAGGCTTTTCATTACTCCGTAGGGGAGTACAGACATATGTTGGAAATCACTCAACCACGAGTAATGTTTGTGTCTCGAAAAACGGAAGTGCTTCTCTCAAAAATTGCGCCGACCCTAAGTTGGACAATGAAATTAATACATTTGGAAGATAGCGCGTTAACTGAGAATATTCCAACGCTGAAAAATCTTGTGGAGAACTATAAAAGTACCGTGGATCCATATAAATTCGTACCGGCGCAAATCGGTGACAGTAGCAAGGAAATGGCGGCAATTCTCGCCTCTAGCGGAACAACCGGCTTGCCAAAAGGTGTTACATTATCTCATCGAAATTTATTAACTTTCTTTTCCAATTCAAGGTAAATAAAACTATGTAGTTCTATTATTCAAAAATTTATCTTCACTATTTAATTTCCCACCTAAATTAAAAAGTTTCTCGTCAGAAAAAATGAACCCTCAGTAATCTATAAAATACAATTTTAATTCTATGTTTATGGAGTAGGAGTTTGGTACAATGGTAACGTAAGAAAGTCTCCTACCAGATCGATCGAAGTTCGATTCCCGGGTGAAACTGTACATTTTCCTCCCCTTCGATGCAGATAAATCTTAAATAGTAAAATTCACACATGAAAATGTTAATTAACTTTGAAATCAAATATCTAATTGAATGTTTAAGGTCACATGCACCTTCTTAGGTTATGAGTGACCACGATTGCTTTGGAACTGTAAGGTACTTATGTAGGTTCATAATTATCTTCAAGGCTTACAGTTTGTGATAGATTCCGATATCTTTCAGGAAGGCTAGGATTTTCCTGCATGAGTCTGTCTTTTGTAGCATGCTTGTTACGCTTGATATATTATATCGCATCCTTTTGGCACAATATTTGGGGCATTGGACTAGGATGTGTTCGATGGAGATTTGTTCGTTGCATACTTCACACACCATTGGGTTCGATTTGGTGATTAGGAAGGAATGAGTTATTCTGGTGTGGCCTATTCTTAATCTGGTTAGAATCACTTGATCTCTTCGGTTCATGTAAACTGCCGGGCTAATGTCATATACATTGTCGCGAATTTTGTGTAGTGCAGTAGGTCTTGAGGTTATCCAATCTTGGTTCCATCGTTCCTTTGCAGCTTTGGTGAGATATTTTTGGAGATCTTGACAGGGAACAGGTATAGAACATGTTTCAGATGTGGAGGTGCTCGCTTCTTTTGCCGCTGAATCTGCCGCTTCGTTTCCTTTAATACCTACATGTGATGGGATCCAGGAGAATAGGAGGTTTTTCCCAGAGCTGTTAAGAGCAACATTTTTTTCGATAATATTTTGTATTATTGTATTGTCGGTTTCCAGATTTTGTAAAGCGGATATAGTACTTAGGGAGTCGGTTAATATAATAAATTTATTGTATGCTGATTTCTCAACATACAGCAGGGCCTGGAGGATAGCATAAGCCTCGCTCGAGAAGATTGAGTAGGAATCCGGTAACTTGAAAAGGAGTTTGTCTTCTGGGGTGCATACTGCGCATCCTGTCCCTTCTTTTGACTTCGACCTATCCGTAAATAGTTGTTTGTGGTTTGGGTAATCATTAGTTAGTTCAAGAAACAGGGATTGTATGATGTTTCGATCTGTATTTTTGGTGACTTGTAAGAATTTGTCTATTACACAAGGTGGTTGTATTGTCCATGGAGCAATCGCTAATTGTTTTCTGACGAGAACTGGGGAAATTTCAGTTTGCATGTCTTGCAAGTATTTTTTAAGTCGGAAGTTCAGTGGTTTCGGATGCGTAGGTTTTATGCGGAGGCTGAGTGATTGTTCATCTGACGTTATTAGGCCATGTATAGGGTTTGATGGCGTGGAAAGTTTGGCAACCACGTAGGTTAGACTTAATTGTTTTCTTCTGACTTCAAGTGGTTGTACATTGGCTTCGGCTAGTAATGCGACGACTGGGCTAGTCCTGAATGCTCCGGATGCAATTCTGACTCCCGCATTATGGATAGGTGACATTATTTTAAGAAGGTGCGGTTTTGCCGAGTCATAGACAATTGAGCCGTAGTCGATTTTAGAGAGAATTAGAGCTTTGTATGTTTTGATCAGAATATGGAATTCAGCTCCCCAGCTTTTTGATGCTATGGTTTTTATGATATTTAATTTCCGAGTACATTCGGTTTTTAGGTTCTTAAGGAATGGAATCCATGTGTGTTTTTTATCGAAAACCAGTCCAAGAATTTTGGAGGTGTCTGTTGTTTTTAATTGGTGTCGCCCGAGATACAATTGGAGTTGGTAATTTTTATCCTTCCTACTACTTGAGAAAATAGTTACCATAGTTTTGTTCTTGGAGAATTTAAAGCCAGTTAGTGATCCAAAGTTTTGTAGTCTGTCCAGATTGTCTTGCAAAATTTGTTGGCTAGTTTTGATATCTTTCCCGGTGATATAAATTGTACAGTCATCCGCAAATAAAACATGCTTGACTGGTTTGGTGAAAATATTTGTAATTTCATTTATTGCTACTAGAAATAATGTTACACTTATTACTGAGCCTTGTGGTACTCCGTTTTCGATTATGGTTTTATTCGAGAGGTGACCGTTTACTCGGACATAAATTGATCTGTTTCTGATAAAGTTGCTAATGAATTGAAGCATATTTCCCTTGACGTTTAGTTTCTGTAATTTTTGTAGAATCCGGTGTCTCCATACCATATCATATGCTTTTTCGATATCTAGGCAAACTGTGATTAGGTGCTGTTTTTTAAGGAAAGCCTCGCATATGTTTGAGTCCAACATGGCGAGACTGTCGATTGTTGATCGATACTGCCTAAAACCGTTTTGGTTTCCCGCCAGTAGGTTGTTCTTCTCTAAGTACCATCGCAGCCTTTTATTTAAAATTTTTTCTAATAGTTTGCATAGGCAGCACGTTAGAGCAATGGGTCTGTAGCTGTCAGCGTGGGATTTATTTTTGCCTGGTTTCAATATGGGAACAACTATTGCTTCATGCCAACTATCAGGGAACACGTTATTAAGCCATATGCAGTTAAAAAGTTGTAAGAGATATTCCACTCCTGACCTTGGCATTTGTTGTAAAAAGATATTTGGTATATTATCGGGTCCTGGACTGGAATTTTTTAGTGTTTTAATCGCCGATTGGAGTTCAACCAATACTATTTTGGTATTCAAATTGTTGTTATCTGCACTGGCGTCATGCCACAGAGATTTTTCAGCCTGAATTTTAGCGTTGAGGAAGTTTGGATCGAAATTTATATTGCTAGAGTTCATAGCAAATGTGGTTGCTAATATGTTGGCTATTTCTTTGGAATCAGTTGTGATGGAACCGGTTGGTGCATTAATGGAAGTGATTTCAGAGTAGGATTTTTGACCGTTTATTTTCTTTAACTTACTCCACATTTCTTCACTTGTTGTTCTGCTATTTAGCGAAGATATGTAATCCATCCACGAATTTCTTTTGGCTTGTTTCAGGGTTTTCCTTGCTATTGCTCTTCTAAATTTGAATTCACTAAGATTTGCGTCAGTCTTATGCTTCTTGTAAACGTTGAAGGCATGTTTTTTGTTTCTTATTACGTTATCACATTCTTGGTTCCACCAGGAAAGACTTTTGTTACATTTGTTATTGGAAGTTTTGGGTACGGAATGTGAGGCTGCGTTAATAATTAGCTTTTCGAATTCTTCCAGTAGCTCGTTGATTCGTTTGCAGTTGTCATTGTTAGGAAATTCCAATAATGGAGCGTTCTGTTCTATTGTTTTACGGTAGTTTGACCAATCCGCTTTTTTAAATTTCCATCTGGGAGTGATTATGAGGTTGTTTGTATTTCTTCCTATTAACTCGATAAATAGAGGAAAATGATCGCTGTTATACAAATCCTGAGAAGCTGTAAATTCTATGGTGTCATAGAGGGAAGGACTGCAGAAGGCCAGATCGATTGAGCTGTAGGAGCCGTTTGTTAGGTTAAAATGGGTTGGTTCGGTGGAGTTTAGTAGTACGAGGTCGGATTTGGTTATCACATTTTCTATAATTTTGCCTCTGGTATTTGTGTATGTTGACCCCCATAGCAGGTTGTGGCTATTCAGATCTCCTAACAGAATAAAAAGTTTAGGGAGTTGTTGCATAAGGGTGATTAGTTCCGCTTCCTGCAGTTGATAGTTGTTCGGGATGTACACATTGCAGATAGATATTTTCTTTCCAAGTAGCGTAACTGAGGCTGCAACTGCTTCCAGATTGGATTTGAGTAATATTTCGGAGTAGTATATGTTTTCTTTTATATATATTGCGACTCCACCGCTTGCAACTAAAGCCTCCGGTCTATTTTTAAATGTAACATTATAACCTTTGATACTGATGCATTTATTTTCTTTAAAATTTGTTTCTTGTAAACATAGTATATTTGGATGGTGATCGTGGATTAGTTTTTGAAGGAATTCGAATCGTGTATTTAGACTGTTTACGTTCCACTGTAAAATTTTGTTTAACATGGGTTGCTCTCAGGAAGTGTAGATATTTAATTTGGAGGTGGGTTAAATGTGGGGGGTAAAGTCTGTGGCTCAATCATAGTCTCATCTTCGGATGAAGGAATTGGGGAATCTGTTGACATGTTGAATTGTGGAGGTTTCAGTAGTTTTCTAGTGATCCTAGTAAAACGGTTTTTAATACTCCTGTCTTTTAGGTGAGGGTATAGTTCATGCATAAAGGATGCTAGGGTGTTGGTATCCTCTACAAATTCTGTGGCTGTCTCCTTGGTACCAGTGTATCCTTGTGCTTTTTCTATGAAGTTTTTAAGCTGATTGTAGTTTAACAATTTACCTGGTTCATCCAGCATATGTTTTATGGGATCTAGCATAGCATCTAGATTTTTGATCGTGGGGTCTGAATTGATAGTTTTTTTCTTTGGCGGTTTACGAACTGGCTCCTTCATCATATCGTTGGTGGTGCTGCTAGAAGTGTCAGTCATTTCCTCACGGGTACGTTTTAATGACGAAGGAGTTTGGTCTGTTTCCATGTTTTGTACTATTTCCAAATTTTGTGTTATTTCTATGTTTTGTGGTATTTCCATGTTTTCCATTGTTCTGTTTTGCGTTTCCCTTGTTGGTTCATGGGAGACGTTTGGGTTCCTTTCGATGTGTCGTTGCACATTGGGCGGTCTTCGTTATTTTTACAATTTTTGGCGACATGTCCTTCTTGCTTACATATGAAGCATTTTACTGCTTCGGTAGAAGGGTACACCCAGTATGTTGTTTGATCGTGTTCTATTTTCATAGATTCTGGTACCTTGTGTACGTCTTCTGGGCGTATGTACACCTGCCGACGGAAGCTAAGTATGTGTGCGTAGCCTTCTTCTGTTATGCCAGCTCTTAGGAAGGAAACGGCCGATTCTCTTTTGATTTCCAGCTCGTCGAAACATTCTTCTATTGTTGCATGTGGAATCGTTGGGTAAACATTTGAAAGTATGATGCGTTGGTATTTGTTGATGAGCGGTCTCAGATAGAGATCTGTGTTGTCGATTTTAATATGATTGTATTTACCTGTGATGTTATCCGCGGTTTCTTTGGTAGCGAGGAATACACAAATTCTGCCATTAGAAATTCTAGATATAAATCGAATGTTGCTTGGGCTGGTTAGTTTTCCCAAGGCTTGGACGTAATCCCTTATCTGTATTCCCTCTTTGGCTTCAATTACGATTGCTTGTTCTTTCTTCGGGAAACTGTCACTTTGGAGGACGTTGGTGTAGCTTCGACGTTGCTGTACATTGGAGGTGTTCTTTGCAGAGAACATTTCGGTGAAAAGGTTGCACCGAGATGCTTATGAGAGAATGACCACAGGAGCTTGCACGCTCCCGTGTACGGATGATACTGATTTGCACTTAATGCACTGCTAAACGAACGAGAAACTTCACTTGAAATACTCGCGATGGCACTCGCATTCACGATACGCACGGAATTTATAACACGTCCAAACGCTTCGGCTGTCACCATGCGACCATCTCAAATATCTTTATTTATAGCATAAGAAACAGAAAATAGTATCCGTGTATAGAACTATTACGAAAGCTAGAATAAAATGTTTGTACACTCCCGACTATATTGATCTATGCTCTATATCGGAACTCCATCCTTTTCCATTATCAATTTCAGTGGCCCAAAGTACGTGGACATTCAACGAGGCGACAGAATAATGATGTTTCTTCCAATGTTTCATGGCTATGCATTTGGTGTAACACTTATTGCAACAGGTGTTGGTGCAACCACGTACGTCCTGCGATCTTTCAATGTGGAGACGCTTCTTGAAGCAATTGAAAAGTACAAAATCACGTATTTGCCATTGGTGCCTCCAGTATTAGTACTTCTTGCGAAGCATCCGACAGTCACGAATTACGACTTCAGTAGCGTGAGATACTTAATGTGCGGTGCAGCACCATTTCCTAAAGACGTAAGTTTTCCTTTAACGTTTGTTAAGATAAGTTCCCCTAGTGGTCGACACATTAAATAAATAAAAAATTATAAGAGAAGATAATTTTGACACACAAATCACATGTCAATAATACAAATAATTAAAATAATAAAAGAAAACAGGCAACATTATTATGATTTTAAACTGAAAACATTATTTTTTAGTATATTATTCTTAAACATTTTCTTTTTAAAATTCTTTTGCAGTTTTCTGATGATTATAAATCAAAAAATTGTACATCTAAATTGGTATATACAGGGTGTTCGAACACCTCTGGGAAAAATTTTAATGGCAGCTCGTAGAGGCCAAAATAAGACGAAAATCAACAATGCTAATTAGTTGATTGAGGCTTCGTTAAAAAGTTATTAACGTTTTTAGGCATGAAATTTCGGAAGTATTTCTATTCACCAAAAATGATTATAATTGACCCTCCTAACCGAAAATAATTTTTTCAGAATGATTTGGAATATTTTTTTTTCGCTGAAAAATTTCAGCACCTAACCCAGTCGATTTTTCTTAAAAATTCGTTTTTCATTTTTAATAAATTTGTTTGACGCTGTGGGGAAATGTTGTCTAATCCTTTTTTGTAGGAACCCATGAGCATTACTTCAGAAAAAAATTTCATTGAAATATATTCACTATTGTAGGAGTATATTTTCTTCGCCAAAATACGCGTTGTTTACATTTTGAAACATTAAAATCCTCCAATCCGTTCAGAAGTTATGATGTTTTAAATATACGCATGAAATTTCAAGGCAACATTTTTAACCACACATTATATTTTCGGAAAAGAATTTTTTTCTGGAAAGTGTGTAGGATTTCGGGGGTATGTGTATTCACCAAAAATGTTTGTAATTGACCTCCGCAATCGAATATAATTTTTCCAAAATGATTTGAAATTTTTTAATTTTGTCGAAAAATTTGTTCACCTACTCGAATTTTTTTCTCGAAAATGTGTAGGATTTCGAGGGTATATCTATTAGGGGTATATCGAGGGTATAAAAATAATTTTTTCAGAATAATTTGAAATTTTTTAATTTAATGTTTTAATAACTTTTTAACGAAGCCTCAATCAAGAAATTGATATTCTTGATTTTCGTCTTAATTTGGCCTCTAGAATCTCCTACTCAAAGTTTTCACGGGAGTATACTGTCTGGGAAAAGGAGACCAAATTTTGCCCCAAGCGAGGGCAAATCTTCTGAATAAAGACACTTTTGTGATAACTATTTCAATAAATTTAAATAACACATTGGCATTTAAAGGAGTACTTACAAGGTACTCAGAAATAGTAACGCAATTCACGTTCTTTTCAGCTACTGTATTTAGTAAGTTACAATAGTGTTACATACTTTAAGTTGCAACAAAAAATGAAATGATTAAAAGGATTCACCTTGTATAAATATATTTGGTCAGAGTATTTTCATCGTCTGATTGCAATATCAATTTTGGATTACAAAATTAACCTATCTTTTATAGAATTGAGAGAATTGATTATTTTTGTTTCAAAATGTAAACGGTAATAAACAAATAAATTATATACACTAAGCTATTTGGAAGAACCTAGTTATGCAAATAAATAACATATAAATGTCCATAATTACTTTTTAGGTTGCAGATGAGGTAAAGAGGCGAACAAAAATAAAATGCATCCATAATGGTTATGGAATGACAGAATTGTCCGTAATATCACATATATCGGATATAGAATGTAACGATGAAAACGTCGGTTTACTAGTGCCCGGATTCCTTTGCAAAGTAGTGAATCCAGAAACAAATGAAACGCTTCCCACGGGCGATGTTGGCGAAGTTTGCTTAAAAGGCGATCAAGTAATGTTGGGGTATTTCAAGAACCCTAAGGTCACCGCAGAAACTATCGACGATGAAAAATGGCTGCACACTGGCGATTTAGGATATTTTAAACAAGATGGACTTCTGTACATTACGGGGCGACTGAAGGAGATCATTAAATACAAAGCCTATCAAGTTTCACCGTCTGAGATTGAGACTGTGATACAATCACATCCAGGCGTTAAAGATGCAGCAGTTGTGGGCAAACCTGATAAAATGAGCGGAGAAGTACCGATGGCTTTAGTTGTGAAACAACCAGGTTCCAACGTGACAGCCAAAGAAATCATAGATTTCACAAATAGTAAGTTTTTGCTTTCTTTGTTTTTCTAGTAAGGCGATATTACTGGCTTTTAATAATCAGTGAATCCGTTTATGAATATGCTGTCAACTACTGTAAAATTCCTAAAATCGATGAATCTGTAATTATTTTCATATGAAAAAAACTCTAAAATAAGTGTCACAATGAAATATCTCCAGTATGGTTATTTTTACCCAAGTTTGGGGGATCGAACTTGAGACCTTCAGGATTGAAAGACCAGCGTCTAAGCTACAGAGCCAAGAAGGATTCTGAATAATTATAGTACTAAATTAATATAATAATATATAGGTTGTATTAAATAGATATGACAGGATACATTTTGTATAAATGTACATATTATTACGTTACATATTTGTCTATATCCGATGAAAAAAGTTTGTGTTTAAAATTCTCCATTATTTGTTCAATTTCTTACAGTAGATCAGAAGCTGCAAATAATATAGATCATTGTGAATAATTTAATAGAATAATACATTTTATTTTTCATAAATTTTTCACATATAAAAACACGTAATGAATTATAAATAAAATGTCTTTACTTGCTAGAATATTTACAAAAGTTTTGTTTGCTATAGGTATTTATATAAATGTGAAATATTTACAGGAAATTTATCACCCCAAAAATGGCTGAGGGGTGGCGTTATATTCGTCGAAGCTATACCCAAAAATCCATCAGGAAAAATTCTGCGACGAGAACTAATTAAATTAATAGCTAAATTATAAAATAATAATTTATTTCTAATTGTTTCATATTTTCCTCTTGATGAAATATTGTAAAATACAACATAGTATATACGAGCAATAAGCATGTATTTTAGAAGTTTTGTTAATAAATGCTAGTTACAGTAAATAAAAATTGCAAATGTGTATTTTTATCATTAATTGTTATGTAATATACTCAAATATTTGGTCATATATACCATTCAAAAATATATTGCATATTACTAAAATCAACGATTTAGCGCTAGTCTCTTCAAGTATCAGATTTTATCCGATATTTAAAAAAACTATTTTTAAATATCGGTGGTACCAACGAAGAACTTTTTTATCGTAGCTAACACCGATTACCAGATCTCACCACGTGAAAGTTGCTGCGACTGGAGACCCAAGGTTTATTTATTTATGTTGAAACTGAAAACTAAACGCTTTAAAACTGAAACTCCAACGGTGATGTACCTAGCTAAAGAGATGGTCAAAATGAAATAGTAAAAAAGTGAATACAACAAGAATTTTAGCAATAACGTAAAAATAGAAAGAAGTGGGAAGAGGATTTTAGACAGTTTTACCGTTGGTCAGTGGTCAGTATTGGCCAGTAGTGGTTAGCAGTAGTCTAGCGTGGTCAACTGTGGTCAGTATTAACTTGCGTGCCCGACAAAGGTGAGCAATGGTTAATAGTGGTCAACAATGGTCAAAATGCAATTTTTTAAATTCATTTTTACTTGCAGTAATACATGTCTTTCTTAATCATCAACAATTTACAGGGTTGATGTTAACATGTATTAATGTAGTATTAATACACAATGTCTCGAACTTGAAACGACTTCAATTCTATCAGAAAATAATAAAATTAAACTAAATGAACAATACAAATAAAATATAGATTTTAATTTGTGCTCGATCCCACTGCTTCAGAAAATTTTAATTTACAAACGACGAACATAAGTAGAGTAATAGTGTTACAATTAATGTAAGGTTAGTGAGACGAGAAATCAAATATGCATTTCTAATATTGAAATCACGTTGGAAATGATGTGCCAATGAAATTGCTTTACCGAGATTCACGAGACACCTTATATAGACGTATTACACGGGGAGTGATGTACATATGTATATGGGCAGGTATTCTCACAGTGGATTCGGTGGCGTGAATTTAAATTTTTCCAATACCGGATACCGCTAATTCCGTTGATCCGGTAAAGCTGCTAGAAATTCCTATCGCACTTTCTCGTTAACGAAGATAACCCGATCGTTCTGACTGCTACGTTAAGAGAACAGGAAATTATCGGTCTATTCATTGATGATAACCGTCATAGTGCATTCAATTTTTAGTTTCAGTAGATACGAGAATTTTCATTTCAAACGTAGTAAGCAGTAACAACAGGAATGATATAGAATCAATATTGTCGATAATACCTTATAATTTGTAATCTATTACCTAACGTCTGCGATTTCTGTAAATAGTAGAAGTATTATGTTCCATATTAACGCAAGTTAATACTGCAATTACAAGGTCCACTTTATCTTTAAACAGACACTACTTATTGTATTTATAGAGAAAAGAGAATAGTTGATATAATCTAGTTTTATATGTATGTACGTAGAATGGAAATAAAAGAACCTCTTTAGTTCCAATATAATAAATTTTTTAATACAATATATCTTCAAAATATTTCAACACATTATATGTATACTAGTTAAAATAATCACCAAATAAGAAAAACAACATATTTATAGCTTATATCTGCAGCAATTTGAATTTATAGATTTAAACTTAAAGATAACCAACCTTTTGTAATACATGTTCCTTGTTATAAAATAACTAAATGATGTATCGTTTTATAATTTAGATAATATTTTTAATAGTTCTCGTTTTTTTACAAAAAACTTTTGTAAATATTGTGGCGCTGAGTCGCTGCGGTGTGGATCTCGGGAAATTCGTAGGAGGACAGAAAAGGAAAAGAGGGGGCACGCTTCATCCGGGCCTGCCAGTGGACTCATCGGTAAGGCTTTCTAGAAGGCCCTGCCTTAGACGACTGGAATATTGGGAAGTTGTTCGAGGAGTGTATACATAGCAACCGAAGGGTCGGTCGAGCGCTTGTGGCTCTCACACGCTCTGTGACCCTCTGGTGGCGAGCATGGGAGGCGACGCCACAATATTCTAGCAAGTGAAGACATTTTATTTATAATCCATTACGTGTTTTTATATGTGAAAAACTTATGAAAAATAAAATGTATTATTCTATTAAATTATTCACAAAGGTGATTTAGTGATTACCGAAAGCATACTACTTACTAGAAGTAGTAAATAATATATCAAATAGCTACTATCTTTACTAAAGGACCAAAGAAAACTACTATTTGTGTAATCTATGATTTCTTCGCGCGTCACGTTGCTATTCGGTTGTTTGTACACGATTGTAGTATGGCTTCAATTTCGGACGGTCAAACTTGGAAACCTTTATATTTAATCAGTTCCTTCAATCGCCCAGTAATGTACAATAATCCATCTTTGTTGTAATATCCCATATCGCTAGTATGGAGCCACTTTTCCTCGTCGATGGTTTCTGCAGTAGCTTCAGGGTTCTTCAAATATCCCAACATTACTTGATCGCCTTTTAATCATATTTCACCAATTTCACCAGCGCAAAGTGCTTCGTTAGTGTCTGGATTCACTAGTTTGCAAAGCATTCCGGGCAACAAACGACCAATGTTTTCGTTGTCGTGCGTAGGATCAGAGAAGTATGTCGCAAACGTCATTTCTGTCATTCCATAAGCATTTTGGAAGTGCTTTATTTTCGTTCGTCTCTTTGTCTCGCTCGCTATCTGACAATCATTTACGTTCTCTCAAAACTATTAGCAACTACATTTTCAATCAATTGAAAGATGAAATGCTGGTAACCTTCAATTGTAATTTTACATACAGGATTCAGCTGCAATTGAAAACATAGAATTCAGTGGCAATTGATGTCAACTGCAATTAATCTTAAATTGTAATTTAAAACACAAGATAAAGTATTAATCTTGAATTCCAACTAAGAATTGCAATTTACAATGTATTGCTTGCCTTGAAATAGCAAGTAACAATTGAAGAATTAAAACTCTGTCTAGAGTTTTCTAGAGAACTGAACACATCAATTCGAGTTACACTTCAATAATAATTTTAAGCAAGATACTTTTTAAGTAAATAAGTAGATATAAATATAAATAAATTCAATATGATCAAACTTAAAGGCAAATTACTCACGAATTGATAAATTGTTTACAACTTTACAAATTGTTTAATTTAGTTGTTGATTTATAATTTTGGTAGAATGAGCTTTTTTGTGCAAAGAAAAACATTACAAATTTTAAAAGAAATAGGAATTGTGAACCTTGTGTAACCACACTGATTCAATGATTCAATATAAGTCTTGCATAGGTATTTCACTATACATATACTATACATATATTTCATGCAGTACAAATGCACTACAGAAATTGTAGTCGCTAATATCTTAGAAGGGAGCATGAGGCATAAAATAAAATAAATAAAAACATTATATTATATACATTGTTTATTATTTAGAAAGAACAAAAATTGTAGAAAATGTTGCTAATTTTTCATTTGAATCGTTGTTTATAAAAGAATGCCCCATACCGAGTGATAAATTACACAATAAGTATTTACATGGAGCCCAGAATTAATGTGACCTTGATTGTAGCCAAAGGCTGTTTTAAAAGTAATAAAAAAGATCATGCGTATTTTTAGACATTTTTAGGACCGTTAAATATTTTAGAAAATTTTAATTTACCAGAATTCGTATTTTATTTTAAAAAATGATGTTATTTTAAAATTATACTGATACTTTTAAATATTCTCGTACTGAAAACATTTGACTACAAGAAAGCTTAAGCAGCGATTGTATTCGTAATTCATTAAATTTTAATTGATGCTTGCTTATGAAAGAATTATTTACCTTGAATTAAAAATGAAAGTCATTATGTTTCGATGAGACAACGAACAAGGTTTTGGTATGGCAGTCGTTCCGCTAGAATTGAAAATTACTGCCATTTCCATCGTGCTATCGCCGATTGGTTCTGGTTCAAAATAAGGATCTACGGTATTTTTATATTTTTCCAAAAGATCTATGAACGTTGGCATATTGTTAGCCAGGGCGTTATCCTCCAATCCTATTAATTTCATCTTCCAACTTAGAGTCGATCTTTGATAGAAGTATCTCGGTTTTTCGAGACACAAACATTACTCGTGGTTGAGTGATTTCTAACAAACGTTTGTACTCTCCTATGTTCAAAATATCATATCAGAGATGTTCATAAAATGTATCGACAGTAATAAAAATATTTACATATCAATGCGTATATACATATATAGTCTAACATTATTTATGTATATATGTGTATATTTCATTATATATTTAATGTATTTGCTGCTTTGAGCGAACAAATAAATTCTAAATGCATACGAAGAATGATTTTCTAACTTTCTACCTACTTTCTGTGTATGCTGGATTCATAAGAGTATACACAGCTCCAACGATAAATATTCCACATATCAAGATCAAGAAATTTGTATGATTCTCGCTTGCAACGGAAATTCTGTCCCCTTTGACGATTCCGTAATTCTTTAAAGCACTGGCAAACGTTACGCTTGCTTTAAGAATATCCTTGCTTCTGAAGGATTTATCACTCTTAGTAGCCACCTACAGCATCGAAATTTTTAGTTTTAATTTAGCAAGACATTAATCCTTAACCCTCCGAAGTACTGGAGTTCAAAACCTGTGCCTGAGTCATTTCTGAGTGATTCAAGCCGACGTTTTGCTAATCCAGATATATTTTCTTTCGAAATTCTAGCTCATGCATGCATGTGTACAAAACAGTATCAACCCATCGGTCGAGACAGTAAACACAAAGCATATACGCACATAATTATCTCAGTAGCAAAAGCGAGATTTGGTACTATGTGTGTGGCAAAAGAAAAGTGACGAGTCAGAAGTGACTCCGACATGGTACTCGGAGAATTAATAAGTGCTGAATATGAAATACGATTTCTTTTCCTTGCAATACGTAACCAACAA